TTAGAGCGGGGTAGTTAGTAATCTAAAGGTAAAACAAAAAGGACGATAATATTAATCGATATATTTAATATTATTATCATCTATTCTATAAAATTCACTTATATCGTAAGGCTGACCAGTATGGTCACGAGCATTTGGGTTGTTACTATAGGCGGTTAGAAGATAATAGTATTCATATACCTCCCCTCTATAAAAAACCTTTTGCTCTATTTCTTCTACCGGAGTGCAAGATATAGGTCCAACATTTTTTTTGTCTATATTTACTACCTGATCATAGCACTTCATATCCTCATAATCAGGAACTTGCGATTTATTGCTAGCTTCGATTATATTTATACAATCATTACATTTCTCAATAAAATAATTCTGTAACTTATATAAGTGAGGATCTACTCTAAATACAAATATAATTAATGAGATGCTTGATATAATGAGATAATCCAGATACTTCCAATCACCATAGTTTTTGATGCCTTGTTCTATCAATCCTACATTTATTAGTGCTTTTCCTAGATAGCTATCACTAAGGTTTACTCTCTTTATATCTTTATCATACATACTACCACAATATTCTTGATATCCATAGTAAACAAGGCAAGATAGACCAATACCTGCCAATAAGAGCACTGCCCCTTTAGAACTGTAATCTACTGTTCTTTGTGCAAAATAATACCGCTTAGCTTTTTTTTGTATTGAAGCTATTTCTTCTCGGCCTTGTGGTATGGGGTTAAGCCAAACACCATTTATTTCTGGCATATTTATATCCTTGTAATTCCATTTGATCCATAATTTTTTTTAAAATACTAACCTTAAACTAGATTAGGTGGCCATTATACATTAAATTACTGTTTATAGATAGTGAACAGCATGACTTTCAGCAATTCCCGATTAAGCAAACTTTGATGATATAAAAAGATATAAAATTAAATCGCAGCTACTTTTGCTTAAAAATAAGAGTAAAATATTGGAAAAAAGTTACTTTTTTAATAAAAGTTTAATTATTTTGCCTTTATATTTGGTCATGACTCCAAATCGTTGATTAACAATAAAATTCTCTTTCGATGAATGTCCCAATTACTTTGTCATGCATTTGCTCGCTCTTTGAAAA